TGGCACCGCGTTAGAGTATCAGGCACGCGATCCGAATGCCAGGGAGGATTCCCAGCCGCATGTACCACGCACAGGGCTGGTGTCGGGCCAGCTGCCCACTTAGAGACCATTATTTGTGTGAAAAGGAGCAGAAAAGATGTGTGTGGTTCTAGGAATAAAAGTAACATATGTATACAAATATAGGTACCAGTACACACCTACGGGGATGGAAAGTAGAAACTGTGTCTCCAGCTCACGGCAGGCACGCTAGCCCGAACCTCTGTGGCCAGGGCTGGGGCTCTTTCCAGGGCAGATGGGATGGTGCCATGGAGCTCTGAGGGGAAAGGCTGGTTTGTGGGGAAACCATATGTATCAGATCTATTATCAAATCACACACACAAAAGGGATATTTTGGCAGCGTTGGGGATGAGCTCTAGGGTAAAAGATCAGCGGGGCTGTGCACCAGAAGTCCTGGGTCTGGAAGGGGCTCCCAGTTGCGGCAGCATGTGGCGGACGTCGGAGCCTGACCACAGGCAGGTGTCGGTCCACGCAGACCGTGCAGGATGGAAACACAAACTCGATGAGATCAAGTCACACCCGGACCTGCTCCACACGCAGCTGCCGACAACCATACCGGGCGCGAGGCAGGCAGTGTGTGGTTACAGATGTCCATCTGGATTGCCAGGGACATTGATTTTGTAAGAGAGAAGATGGGCTAGGAGATGTTTATGTGCACACACAGGACTCCCTAGGTTTGGAGCTCAGTTATTGTACGTGACAGCCACAGAAGTGGGGAAGTGCATAGAGAAAGAGAAATCCCAGGGAGTCCCTGCCTGAAGCCAGGTCTCCCTGGGGCAGCCCTGGGATATGGGGGGGGGCGGAATCCATTGTCCAAACATCATCAGATGCATGCAGGGGGATGTGCCTGATGCAGCTGCAGATCCATTCACCGTTCACTGATTTCTGGACTGAGCCTGGAGGAAAAACAGGGAGGAGGAAGGGCCACGTCCCAGGTCTCTTGGGTGGGATAGAGAAGGGCAGGCTTGGTGCCTGGGGTTGGCTGGCTGTCACTCTCTTGTCCTTGACTGGGTTCCCAGGGCCTTTCTTGTAGATCTCGGGTCTCGGCCTCTCTCGGTCCCTCTCTCTGTCTGCCTTTCAGTGCGTTACTCTTCTGTATTATAGGGCCACAGAGAAACACTGCCGGACCCAGGAGCAGATAGAAGCACGAATGTCTTCTGGGGATGTGGAGGTCACTGGTGATAAAGCCCATCCTCTTGCTGGTGTCTGTGTGTTTATGTGATAGCGCATTTTCATGTTTGTGCAAAAATCCAAGTACAGCCTTGAAAGTTTGTTTTCTTTCAGTCCTTCGGCTACTGTCTCTCAGGGGGGTCTCTCTCTGTCTCTCAAGGACCCTTCCCCTTCTTCATTATACCACTCAAGAGCAGTCTGGGCCCTTGGACTTGGCCGCAGTTTCGGTCGGTAACCCTCCTGCCCCCCAGTATGGCCTTTGGTGAAGTTTGCCCCAGGTGGGCCACGCTTTACTGAGGCTGAGATGGCTGGAGGGCCCCCCTGGGAGCAGTGCTTGGAGGGAGACGTCGGCAACTCGGTGGGGAGGCAAGTATCTCTAAGGACATGACAAGGCCTGTGGGGCCCCTCGAACAGAACAGGGGAGGGGGTAGAGGCCTCTTCTGAGTGGAACAGAGGGAAGGGCATGGGTGAGGCTCTAAAACCCACGGCCAAGGGCCAGGGCAATCCCACCAGGCCAGGCAGGGGAAGAGGGACCCAGGTCAGCAGGGCAAGTCCTGGGAAGAATATGAAGGAAAAGCAATCAGTCCTGTCAGGTCCCACTTCCCACCCCCAGATGTGGCAGAAATAACATCTGGGTAAGAGAAGGCAGGGTGTGAGAAGGGAGCCCCAGGCACCTGGCGACATCTAGGTGGAGAGCCCAACAGTGAAGACAGTGACAGACACCCGGGGAGAGGGGAAGGGGCTGGAGTCCGCCTCTGTCCCCCCCTCCCCTGCCCGCCCCCCCACCACTGTGTGCGCTCACCAGGCAGCGGCGGGAATATGACACCAGGGCCAAACGCCTCTGCGTGGATCCTGTGACTATTTACTAGGTGGTGCAAGCAGGGCGGAGGGCTTGGGGGCGGGGTGCGCTCCGGGCAGGGTGGCAGCAGGGACAGCGGCCGGCCCCATGCCCGCGAGGGAACGCGCCTGCAGAGCCCATGCTGCCCCCTCCCTCCAGAGAAGCCTGCCTGGGTGTTCTCTCCCAGCCTGGATTCCTTCAAGCCCCCCCCGCCCCCCCCCACGCCCTGGCCCTGCTGCTTCTCGGCTCCTGGGCCCTGGGGGTCCGTCTCCCTGTCTCTGTCACTCTTCACAGCTTTGCTGCCTCTGTCCTCAGGTCTCTGTCTCTCCACGCTCACCCCACCCCCCTTTGTGAATTAAGAGACTTCTCCCGGAGCCCCTCCCCACTCTTCCCAGAATGACACGGAGCAAAGTGTCCCACTCCCTCGGCCCCCTCCTCTAGGGCTGCGGCCCCCTCCGCCAGCGTCAGATAATTGCTGGTGTGCCGCTCTGAGGAGCCCGAGCTGATACGAGGGAAGGAGAAGGGGGGAGAAATAAATAATAATTTGCTTCCATTCAGTGTATATAGGTTACTTGATTTGCATATATGCTAATAATGCTATAATTACCCTGCTGTTCTGGCCTATGATCAAGTTCTATAAATACATGGATAGCAGAGCGAGGCCTAGCAACACCACCCAAATTATAAAGTATGTGTCTGTGTGCATCTATGTGTCCCCTAAATCCACAAGCTTCTCTTTGTTATAACACAGCCCTGGGAGCCCTAAGCTCTTCCGGCTCTCGGCTCTCGGCTGCCCCCCCAGTGTTCGGAGACGGGGGAGGAGGAAAGACCGGCCTGAATGAGAAAATATTCTGGGTTATATGTAATTTTTTGTATTGATATTATTATGAATAAATTATTACTGGTTTTAGGAAAATCAAGGATTTCCCCCAAATCATTCAATTAGTTATTGCCTGAATGCCCTCACCTCGGATGGGCCCAGACTTTGGGGTGCAGGTTGAGGCACGGGAAGAGGCCACCTCCCTACGCTGGGCCTGTTGAGATGTTTAAGAAAGTGCTGGCTATGGGGCCCCCTTCCCCAAAGCTGCCCCCACACCTCAGCCTCCTCGCCTGCTCTGGGCTCTGGGAGCCCTGCAGATGTTTGGGGGATGGTGGCAGAGGTGGGAGGAGGCCTGGAGCAACATAAAAGATGAGATCCACAGCTGTCTGCTTTTAATTATAATTATCCCCTTTCGCTTCCTTTCTGGCTAATGAGGGGGGGATTCGATTTTTTTCTCCCTTTTCTCCCCCCCCTTCCCCTGGAATTGAGGGGTGGAGTGAGTTCAGGGTCCTCCTCCCCTGCCTCCCCTAGCCCCTGGTTACTGGGAGAAAGGCAGACTCCAGAGGGTGGGGACAGTGTGAAGAGCTTTGCAGGAACAAAGGGAGGACAGGTTTGGATTGCTGGACACGTCCCAGAGTTGGAGAGACCCCCTCCATCCCCCTGGCACCCCTCCCATCAGCCCCCCAGCCCCCAGACAAGGAGCTCAATGTCTTCCAGCCGGTGAGAAAGGAGCTAAAGGGAGCCCAGGCCTAGAGGGAAGGAGGAGGGAAGGGGTGGGGAGCTGGGGGCGCAAAATTAGTCTCAAAGGATCTTTATTTCTGAGCTAGTGAAGCAGATGTAATCAAGGGGAGAGCAAAATAATCATAATGGGAGGGATGAGGGGAGGGGAGCCGAGGCTGGAGTGGGGGGCAGTCTGGCCTTCCCCACCTCCCCCTGGTCCCCCTACTCTGGGGTACAGAAGGAAGCACCAGGCCCATGGACTCTGACCCAAGCCCTCAGAATCCCCCTTTCAGAGCTCGGGGACGCGGGCCCAGAAGGTGGCTGGGAAGGCACCGGGGACAGGAGAGAGCCCCCACCCTAGCTGAGGGAGGTAATGGGCAGGGGGACACTGAAAGCAGTGGGGGAGGGGGAGAGAGGGAGCCGGCAGGGACTCAAGTGGCCTCCAGGTCTGTGGGACAAAAGTTGGAGGGAGATTTGTGTATGAGAGAGGAGGGGAGGGGGCCTTGGGGAGGGGGGGGCTTTGACAATGAACTTGGGACAAACTTCATTAGCATGCAGGCCTGCTGTCTGTCACGTCGAGCTCAGACTGAGTTCCCAGGCCGGCCAGGAAGAGCGGGAGGGAGGGGAGGGAGGGGCGGGGTGGGGGTGACGGAGAGGACCGGCCATTGTGCCATCCTGGGCCCCAGCGTCCAGCAAATCTCGGGACCCCAGCCCTGGAAACCAGCCCCCAAATGGCTCTCCCTTCTCTGAGAAGGAGATAATTTATCGCCCACTTTGAACCCGTGGTCCCACCCCTCCCGTCTCCCGTCTAGCCTTCCAAGCGCTGGCCTTCCCGCCCCCACCGTGGGTGCAGTGTCTCCCAAGGGTCACTTTCTCCTGCACAGCTAGGATGTGGATTTGTGATTTGTGGAGCTGACAGGGCCCGGGGCTGGGGGAGGCTTAGGAAGGGGGCTCGGGGACACCCCGAAAAGGCGAAGTGTCCTCTTTCTGTGCCTCCTTCTCCACTCCGCTCCCCACCCTAGACGCGCGTCGTCTAGCCGCGCTCTCAAGTCCGAAGGTCAGCTGGACCGGGCAGGAGCCTGGGGACAGTGCGCGTCTGTCACACTCTTTCTCGAGCTTCCTTGGGGGATACGGGTGGCCTGGGGGAACAATAGCTTTCCTGAGCCCCCTCTTCCTGCCTCAGGTTGGAGAAGGCCAGAGAAGGAGGTGGGGAACAGAGGAGATGACAAAGACCCCTTCCCACACCGGCCTCAGAGCGGGAGGGGAGGGGGCTTCCTCCAGGCGGGCTGTCATTTTGGTGGTCGTGGTGTCTCCAGACAGGGGCAGCACCCCCTCTTTGCTGCCTTCCAGGGAGAGCAGCCAGAGAGAGAGAGAGAGAGGCGAGCGGAATTCCTGAATGGACAGACAGATGCTACGTCACTGGAGCCGCCCCGAGAAGGAGCTGGAGGGAGGCAGCCCAGCGCTGGGGCCGCCGAGCGGCTCTGCTCCTCACAGAAGCCGGGTGAGTGGCCATTCCGGACAGGCCTCCCTCCCTCAGGCACCTGGGCCAGGGTGGGATGGGATCCCCTAAAACCAGTCGGGGCGCCCTACTTTGCCCACGGGCTAATATTAGGAGGCGGACGCAACAATCCCGGAAAGGAAGGGCTGATGAAAGCTGTAGGGGTGACCCACGGGGGTGGGGGTGAGTGTGGAGGGGGAGTCGGCAGAGCGGGGTCTCCCCTCCTGCTTCCGGGGCGCCCAGGGCAGCAGCAGGGAGCTGAGGTGGTGGCCCTGCCCTGCCACCAGAGCCCGGAGCGCCTCCCGGTCCCCTCCTTCCCCAGCCTGGCCCACGGGAGACAGCTCACCAAGTTTGTCAATGGGATTCGGGGGCTTTAGGGTCACGGTACTACTGATCCTGTTAATCCGCCCCTCCCTTGCTCCAGCAGACGGCCAACATCTTAATGCTTGTACCAGAGGAGGGGCGGGGAGGAAGACTAGCGGGGATGGGAGGGAAGAGAAAGATGGTTGTGTATTTGGACTCCTGACCTCTTTCCTCTCTGCCCCGGGGACTTCAGCTCTTAGGGGAGGACAAGGTCTGAGGAGCTGGGGGCCTGGGGCTGGAGGCATGGGAGGAACCATATTCCCAAACAGGTGGGGACCAGAATTAGGAAAAAACCCAAGAGCATTTTATAGACTTTAGATTAATCTAATTCCTCTTCTTCCCTGCTTTTCCCATGAGCTGGCAGGTGGGAACGGGGTTCAGGGGAGCTGAAAGGCCAGTGAGGTGTTGGGGTCAGATGCTTAGGTTCCAGAAGGGGCAGAAGCCCCACTGCAGCTCTCACCAGCCCCATCTGATGCTCGTTTTTATTTCTTGCTTTTCAAGAAGGGCCGGGGGAATAGAGAGAAGGCACAATTCTCACTCCTGTCCCCACCCTGGGCGACAGGCTGGGACCCCTGTGGGGCAGTGGGGGCTGGAGGCCCCGCAGACTATTTCTGGTCCCCCAGAGGCCAGATTTCTGGGAGAGGCTGAGGCTGCCAGTCACCAAACATGCTCCGTGCCTCCTGGGGCGTGGTCCTTGTCACCATGCTCCCCCCTCCCCGCACGATGTGTAGGGGGGTGCAGGGCAGGGCTCCACAGGGAGAGCCATTGCTGCTCCAGGGACCCCACACCCCTTTGCGATGGGGGGAAAGCAGGAGCCAGAGGTCCCCCAGCTGTGTTTGTGTCCATTTTCTAGCCAGTCTGCAAGTTGTGGGGGTTGGCCCCTCTTTGGTGTGAGGACCATTTCAGACCGAGACAGCCCTTTATGAACGGATGGGCTGGCAGAGCCAAGGCTGGGAGGCGAGTGGGCATTTGTGGCCCTGAGAAGTGGGGCAGGGGCGTTCCAAGCACCCCTCCTAGAAATCGGGCTGGGATGGGAGGCTCATCCCTGCTCCCCAGCCCTGCCTGTTTATGATTTCCTCTGCGTTAAGGCAGATTATCTTCCTGATTAAAGAAAGAAGGTGGAGTAGTTGTGGATTGAGTTTGAGGTAGAAGGATTCACCACCTTGCCCCAACACACACATGCGCGCACGCACACGAATACGCCCGCATACACACGCGTGAATACACTTCTCCTGGTATATCAGGAGCTGGGTCACCCACGTCATTCCCCTAAATCAAAATTAGCCTGAAAGCAAAATACTGGGAAGGTGAGACTATAAAATATTGAGACTAGGTTCCACACCCAACATTAACATTTAAAAAATTGCTTTGTATTCTCACCTTTTGTGTCTGTGAGACAGAGAAGGAGAGGACCAGGGGAACGTTGGGCAGCTCCAGGATCTGAGCTCCTGGATGGAAGGGTGAGAAAGCTAGAGACCTAGCAGGGTTGGCCGTATCTTCAGTGCCGAGGACTTTACAGATACGCTGCAGTTAGATCCAGACAGACAAACATGTCTCCTTGCCCCCAGATCCCTCATTCTGCCCTGAGCAGCCGGGAGCCGTGAGGAGAGGGTGTCCACTGGGCGAGGGACTACTCCTCCAGGTTCAAGCCAGGGGCCCTTAGCTTCGGCTGGAGGCCGGAGGCAGCGCGGGCTGTGAGCAGGGGCTGAGTTGGCGCCGTCGTCCGGGCAGCGTGGGGCTGGCGGGGGCCCTGCCCACCTGCACGTCCAGGCACCCGGGCTGCTCTCTCCCCACGGCTGCTGGTGCTGCCTGGAGCCCTGCGAGGGAAGAGGGCAGCCTGGCCTGTGGAGGAGGGATGGACTGAGGAGGGCGGGCGGCAGGGAGAGGGGGATGCGAGGGAGAGAACTGGAACCACTTTAACCTTCACATTCTCCTCCTTGACAGGGCTGGGCATCCAAGAAGCAGCAGCCCCCGTTTCTGGTGTCATCGTGGGGGGCCACCTTGGCTTTTAGGGTATTTATTTTCTTATTTGTTTGCTTTGATGGCGGGGGCGGGGGGGGGGGGCGGAGCTGGCCCTGCATCCCGCATCCCCTCCGTGTTCTCCTGTTCTCCCCACCCTGCCTCTTCTAGCTCTGGGGCCCTGACTGTGCTCCCCTCTGATGGTAGTAAGACCTGTGGAGCCATTGGTGGTGGGAACGAGAGAGCCCCCGCACCCAGCTCTGTGAGAGGGAGGAGAGGCACTGGGGCGTCAGGGGACTCTTCCTCTTCTCTCAGACGTTCCCGAGGGCTGGGCGGCAGCGGCTGACCCCGGGAGACAGGCGGGTGGCTGCAGAGCGGGGCGGGGATGGCGGTACCTGGGCCACAGAGGTGAGAAAGGAGAGCAGTGTGGGGCGTGGGGAGCAGGGGTCTGGGAGGCACGCACGCCCTGAGGGTGTATGCGGGCCGAGCCCCTGGGAGCGTCGGAGGCTCTGGCCGGGAGTGCCGTGGACACAGATGGTGACATTTGTCTTGCTGCGTAGGGTCATGTCTGCACGCGGGTGTGCATGCTCAGTACCCTTGCCCACCCGCGCGTTTGCCCCCAAGGAGGCCACTTGCTGAGGGCGGGCCCTCTCCCGTCTCCGTCGTCACCTTGTCCTCACCTCCCCGACTCCACAGGGCTCTGAGGCAGGCGCTCAGCTCAGCTACGGATCTAAGAACTGGGAGCGGCCAGGGAGGCAGTGATCGGCGAGGCCCAAGGAATTCTCAGGCTGGCGTCTCGACAGGAGAAAACCACCCTCATGGGGAGGGAAGGGTGGCATCCCCGGGGACAAAATCTTCCATGTTGTCCCCATGCCCTCTAACCTCCTCTGCCCCTATGGAGATAGACAGATTTGTTTTGTCACCGCTGCAGCATTTTTTTTTTTTTTGCCAATTCTTGCTTTTATGTGTCACTATCCCACAGACAATGCAAATATTCTATAGCAAAAGAATAATGTGTGATAATGTTCACAATAATGATGCACTTAGAAGGCAGAAATAAATACCTGAACCCACCTTCTTCCAAATGCAGCTTTCATCTGTATTATCTTCAAGGCAAATTAATCCGATAATTGAAACAAAGAAAAAATACGCCTTTTATTTAATTACCTGAATGTTTCAAGAGAGTGGCCTAATGCCAAAATGTATTTTGGACCCAAATTATAAAAATCTGTCCAAAAGCTGCATCCAGAGAGCCTCATTCAGGCCCTGTTTTTCTATACATGGGCCTCTTCAGGCACAGACAATGGTGGGCATCAGGACCGGAGGGATGCGGGTGGGGACAGGCACGGGCAAAGAAGGCAGGCTCTGAGCTAATGAAGACACTTGCAGACTCAGATCTATACTGGGGACTTGGGGGGCTCTCCCCAAGGTACCCCAGAATTTCCCTGGAAGGACTCGGGGTGGGGTCTGCAGGCCATGGCTCTATAGAACACCGACCTCAGCCCAGAGTACTGGGGGCTCCAGCGGAGGCCTTCCTGGGGAGACTGAGGCTGGCAGGCCAAGCACAGGGGGGACCTAATGCACCCATTTTGCTCCAGCTGGCAGCCTCTCTCTGGCCTGCTGTTTCCAATTCTAGATAGTGGAAGGGTCTCTTGTGGTCAAAGGAACTGCCGAATAGTCACTAACACGCAGCGCAGTCACTACGCCTCTCCCCTCCCCTCCCATGCAGGACCCACACTTGGTCAACACCCTCCCTCTCCACCCATTCGCGCTCAGTGCACATGAGGGCAAACTCAGCCGGGCACACACATACTCTTGTTAACCCACTCTTTCCTGGGCACCCACCTTGTTTTCAGTGTAGTATTAGATCCCCTAGGCCCCAATATGTGTGATGCTGCCTCGGCCCTGGAGGGCTGTCTCATTTGCTCCCCTCCATGCACTCTCCTTCTGGAAACCAAAGTAGCATGGCCTCATATACAAAGCAAGCCCAGTTAAGGTGCTGGTGGGGAGTTTTCTGCTTCTTTCCTGGCTTAACCCTCCACGCCCATAGGAATGGAGACAGAGACCCCACTCACCTCCATCCCTGAGCAGGAGCCCTGGGAGGTCAGGTTGTCAAGTCTGCCCAGACAAAACCAACAAAAAATGGCTTCATCCGGAATCTGGCTAGAGAGGGTGATTCCAAAGTAAACTCACCTCCAGTTTCTGCTGCAGGGGCCTCCTTACCTTTGGACACTGGATACTGCTTAGGCTCAGGAAGCTCTGTAGCGCCCAAAGCTGCAACAAGAAGCAGAGGACCCAGCTCCTTATCTAGCTATTTGCGGGGGCGGGTGGGGGGTGGATTTTGGAAATGTACCCATTTCTTTCCAGACCCCAGTTTTTGAGAAGGTCCAGCTGAGTCTGATTTTGGCCCATAGGGGTGGGAGTGTCTCCACTGGGAAAAGAAGCCTTTCTGTGTCTAACCCTCCCCAGCAAAAATACAGCAGGGGCTGAAAGGGGAGGAAGGTTCACGCTGGTCCCCACTGCCTCTCACTGTGCTCACTGGGTGGCTCCAGGGTCAGGGGTTGTGGAGACGAGCTTGGGCCCACTGAGAGTAGGGGACTTGGCTGGGATTGGTGACGGAAGAAAGCGGAGGGTATTGGCTAGCAGGATGGGCCAGCTCTTCCCCACCCGCTGGCCCCAGCCTCCCAGGCGCTGGGTGAGGGGGAGGAAGGAGGGGGCAAAAGTGCCCTTCAGGTGCTTTAAAGGGATCGTGTGGGGGGCAAATGGGGGAATATTTGTAGGGGAAGTTGGTGGTGTGTGTGGAGAAGTATAGGCCCTATCAAGGGTTGCTGGAATGTCTGCAGGGTGTTGGGTTTCTTATAAAGAGGTACAAAATCGAGTACCTGGAATTATTTGAGGAGGTTTGTAGGCAGGAAGCTGAAAGGCTAGAGGGGCCTATCATTTCTCCCGGGCCTGGTATGGAGGGTGCCTTTAGATAATGCATTTAGCAGCGTGCCGGTAGGGTAAGTCTGTCTGTGAGAGTGTTTGGGGAGGATTCCACTTTTCTGCATCTGAACTGGGGCAACAGAGACCCCAGTGCTCCCCCAGTGCTCCATTCTGAGCTGTAGGGGCGGGAGGGGCGGGAACAAAGTAGGCAGCGGACACTTTGTCTCTTTCCTTCCTTCCCTACAGCCTCGGCTGGTGTGCTCCCAGCTCTGAGAGGGTAAAGAATGGATGCTGTGGATGCTTCTAGAAAGCCTTTCCCTTGGGTAAAGGTCCTGAGACCCTCTGGAAGCTGACGGAGGGGGGCGGGAGCTGTGCCAAGCACAGCCCTGAGAAGACCCTGAGACTGGGGAAGCCAGGCTCCATACTGCTGTTCTCCTGGGGAAATGCAGGCCCCAGGACTTTGTCCTATTTCAAAGTGTCCCCCACCTCACAATAGTGTAGCCACTATTCAGACATTCTCCAGTCTTTAAGGGGGTGCATAAAATGAAACCCATTGGCCATGGGCTTGCATCTAACCAGGGGAAAGAGCATCCAGGTTCGGCTTTGTCCTAGAAGGTGCAGAGAGGCGACCCCCCCCAAGGGGATAAAACAGTCTGGCTGGGCCTGCTGGCAACTGAGGGGCTCACCTCTGTTGGCACAGTGTTCGAGGATCCCAGGTGATAGGAATCGGCCGGTATTAAGCAGGCACCCAGGCTCTAGGTATCTAGGTTGTAGGATTTTTCAGAAAAGGGGCTGAGAGTAGGGCGGTTGGAGGGACGGGGTACCTGGGGACTGGGGACTGCTCCCTGGCAGACACTGAGGCTCAGCCAGGGGCCCACAGCTCTCTCTGGGAGAGCGCCGCCAGGCAGCGAGAATCCGAATCCCGCTTGCGGGGCGGCGCGAGCTGCCGGGGTTGGGAAGCGGCATTACTGGACTCTTGATTCTCCGGGCAGATGGGGAGCCAGGTCAGGAAAGCCCGGAACTGAAAACCTTGCTGAGAGCGATCCTTCTCCCTCTGAGCCCAGCTCTCCAGCGTCACTGGAGATGGAGCCGGGGTGGAGGCGCGCGGGGCTGGCCTCCGTGGCTGAGTGGAATGTGCGGATACTGCCCAGGTTAATTCCAGCTGAGATCCATCAGCCTCCCCACCCCCAACCTTGGTGTAGGGAGCAGGGTCAAGAGATATTCCCGTCCCTGCTCCGCGACTAGGGAGGCCCAGCCTCGATCGGACCCCGCGTCTCCCAGTAGGAGTCCCTAACTTCCAGAATCTTTCCCTCACTGTTTTGGGTTGGAAACCAACAAGAGCGAGATTCCCGCCCATCCTAAAAGGTTAGGATCCCAGTCTGGAAGGGATCAGAACACGACAAGCACAAAGAATATCCTGAGGAGAGGAGGCAGGTAGGGGCAGAATCTCGTTATCTGATTCTTTTTGATATCTCTGAGTCCCCCCCGCCCCCCGTACCCCGGCATACCTAGGGCCCAAATGGAAAATGTAGGGCCTACAAAGAGTGAGGATGGAGATTAAAACCACAAATGGCAATGGCGGGAGACGGCAGGCGAGCCTCGGGGTGGGCGAGGCAGCAGGAGGCTGGGGGTCAGCACACAGACGTGGTAGTTCCTCCCCAACCCCGCTCCTGGGGGGGAGGGGCGCCCCAATTGCGCGCTCCAGCTCTTCCCTGGAAGGGGAGGGGCGGGCCGGCGGGGAGAAGAGGCGGTGACGTCAGACTTGGCGGAGCCAATCGGAGGCTGGCCTGGGGAGGGAGCGTGAAAGGATGAATGAAAAGTCCGGAGCCGGAGCGCGCCCGGGCCAGAGCGGCGGCCGCGGCGGAGGAGGGAGCTGGGGAGGCGAGGCCCGCTCGGCCCCGCTCACCGCGGCTCGGCGGAGGCTGAGCCCTGGCACCCCAGACCCCGGGCCACGGCTCTCCGTAGCGGGAGCGCGCCGGGAGGACCGCGCTGGAGAGCACGATGGGCGCCCTGGGCTCGATGTAAGTGGCCTGGCCGGCTCGGGGCAGCAGGTGGGCGAGCGCCTCGGCGTCCAGCGTGCCTGCGCGTCCGCCCGGAGGGGCCGACCGAGACCCTCGTCCGGGCTGCCGGGACCTCCGTGTCGACTCCCGTTTCCGATCGGAATCCCTGCCAAGCCCTAGGGCCCCTCTCGCTTCGGACCCCCGACCATTTTCACAGCCTTGGGTGCTTTGTGGACCTCTTTGTACAAAGCCGTTTCTCTGGGGGTCCCGCGGGGCCTGGGACTCGCCTCACCTGCACCGCCTGCCCCATCTCGTGGGGGGGTCTCCCGGAACCCCTCCCGGGTGGGGTCTTCGCCCTCTCCTTCTCTCCCCGAGACGCGCCGGGGAGGCCCTGGGGCGCCCACCCCGCACCGGCTTGCCTCCCTCCGGGTTGCCAGGATTTCCTGTTCCCTGCCAGGACGCCGCCGGGGGTTTTCCCCCACGATTCGCTGCTCGCCCCCGGCTTTAGTCAGCGCCCTTGTTCCAGCCCTTCGCGAGCAGGGGGTCCCCGCGGCTCCCACGCAGAGGCTTGGGCTGTCGGGCGCGCCCTGCAGCTTCCAGAGGAGGGCGGTGGGGACCCCGTGGGGCTGTCGAGGCCTCCGCCGCCGTCCCTGCGGTCGTCCCGGGTGGCGCGAAAAGCCCGCGAGTCCCTCTTCCTGCGGAAGGACCCGCGGAGCTCCCGCTTCTGGCTCAGATGGGAGCGGGAATCGAGGCGCTCGAAGCTCCTGGGGCCCGGGAGCGATCCCTGGACCTCGACGCCGCCGGCCTTCGCGTCCTTCCCACGCCCTTTTCGGTCTCTGTGGTGTCTGTGTCCTGTACTCGGGGTCCCTTTCCGTCTTGGACTCCGTTTCTCTCTCCGCCCCCACCTCCACCCCGGTGCCCTCTCCCACCTCCACCCCCGTGCCCTCTCCCACCTCCACCGGCGGGCGGCCGAGGGCGGCGGCGGCGGCGGCGGCGGCGGCCGGGAGGCTGCGTGGAAGAGGCGGCGGCGGCAGCCAGGAGGCGGGGTTGGTTGTTATCTTTGGTTATCTAGCTGTATGAGTGGTGTGGAGTCTTCATAAAGCTAGATAACCGAAAGTAAAAATAACCCCATACACTGCGCGGAGGGCCCCGGGAAAGCC